TATATATATATATATATATACACACACACACACACACACACACACACACACATATTTTTATGTGTTTTTATGTGTCTATTGGCTGGCATCCAGGCCCAGTTCGACCATTGCTGGCATCGCCACCAGCACATCTAATGAGGATAAGCAGTATAGAAAATAGATGGACATCTAATCTCATGGGAATCATAGGCATGAAGATTACTCGTATAAATAGAGGCATCGGGGCCAGAACGACTTCTTTTTCTTTTTTGCCCACACCTTCACAGCTTGTAAATGGACTTTGTGTCGCTAATGCGTGCTGAAAAATGGAAGTGTTGAACGATGGTGGCAGGCGCTAAACACAAGGTAGTTAAGCCAGCGGGCACGTTGCTTTGCAGACCTCCGCGCCTCCTTGTCTCTGTTCGCAGCTTCACGACAAAGCGACCGACAGCACTCCTACGAGTCTGCGCGGTCGCACTGTCACAATGTGCCCATCAGGCTTTTTAATCTGTCATGTCTTGTTGTCACTTTTGAGGCTGTTTGATGTTGGGAGCGCAAGAAGACGAACAGCTCGTCCTGTCATTGCAAAAGCAGAGAACATGGATTTTCTTTCAACACATGATGCAGCGACGCTTGCGTGTGTGTGTGATCATCTGTCTTCCCTTTATTTTTATCGTCTTGTACATCTTCACTGTCTGGCCTGTCATCATGCACCACGATAACGCCTTTAGGCTAATCCCAAACACTCACGGTCATCCTAATAGCATCGTTGCATCAGTCTGATTGGAAGAATTTGGGAATGAAAAAAAAAAATCAACAAATCGAGCGAGCACTTTGGTGTCGTTCATTGAGGCATGTCGATTTTAGTTGACGATTAGGCTAACTCCATATGGTTCAAAGATACATGTCATTGCGGCTCAAAATGCTCATGGTTGAATTTAGTCGCAAATCATATGAAAAAGTGACGCACTCTACTGCTTAGCGCAACATTACATTGTCCTATGATATCGTATTAATTAACTCATTCACTCCCAAAGACGTTTTTAAACGTCTTTTCAGACTTGGTCCAGAATTGGCTGGCACTGAATGAGTTAAAAAGGTTTCCCTCCAAGGACCACCTCAAAACGATTAGCCGCCCCGAGTACCACCATCATGACCAATATTAAAATACAGTAGGGTAGTAGGCCTTAGTGTTCATAATAAAGGTTTTTAATGATTGGGCGCAACAGATAATGTATCGGACCTTAAACTTTCCACTTTCCAGGGCAATCACTGGACTCCTCATTTCATTTGAAAAACTTCTTTGATTTGAGCAGAGAAACAGATCAATAAGTGGCTCGCCGAACCCGTCGCCCACTTAGAATACGAAATGCGCACCAAGATGGGAGCCTGCACATTTCCCCTTAACGTTCCACCCCGCTTTTGTCGGTAACGAGACGAGTGAGATGATTGAATTTGCCAGCGCGTTGCTCAGACTCTCCCTGCATTTGGTAATGTTTTGTACGAGCCGTCAGAGAGGGGGAGAATGAAATCAATCTGCGTGATTAGTATGCTAAAGCGGGACTCGGCAGAACATGAGACAGAAAGCGGTGGTCTTGTGCGCTCCTCACAAATGTACATTTTCTGCTTCAATTAGAATTATTTATTCGAACTCCTCTACGACGGCGGTCGCCAGTCGAACACAAAGCAAGAACATTCATAGCATCAAACTCATCAAGTTACCAAAAGTGACTTTTCACCTCTCGAAATGCTGCAGTTGTCGGCGAAGCGATCCAACGGCCACAGCGTTTGAGAACGGAGACATTTTTTTTTTTTTACTATTTTAAAGTTTCATTTGATATAAATGCTGATTTATTTATTTATTTTATCATTGAAATGTGACAGGTTTGTTAACAACGCTCATCTGCGAAACATTTTTATGTCCTCTTCATCAGCTGAACATCCCTGACTTTTTTGTGTGCAAATGCATTTGACTTTTTAACTTGACTTTGTTGATCCCTTCCAGCCAACAAGGATGGCCGCGGACGACGAGGAGCTGCTGTTTCACACAACCCGGGGAGAAGAGGAGGAAGAAGAGCAGGTGGAGGTGGCGACGGTTGGAGGTTTGAGGCATGCGGTGGTAGGCGGACCGTGGAGGGTTGTGGCCTGGGTCTACACGCGGTCCTGGGCCAGCGGGGCCGTCCTCGGGGGCTTTATCATCCTGCCCTGCACCTTGTTTGCCTTCATGCTCCTCTACTGCCCGCCTCTGGACATCGACCTCTCCTACGGTGCCTTCGAAGTGCACAGTCACTTCTCTGCCGAGCGTTTCGACGCCCTCACCGTTGCGTTGAAGACCCAGCTGGGCTCCTGGGACAGACGCAAGAGGGACTCGGATGGCGGCGAGGCCGAGGCTCTGGGGGAGCTACCGATGGAGAAGCCGGTCAACAACGGGACACTCGACGACGCCCCCGAGACAGCCGCAGGCCATCAAGCGTCAGCCCTCCGCGGACGGCGCTCGACCCCCAACTACTACCTCCAGAGTCAGGCCTTGTGGAGGATCGAGCTGGTGTTCGTGGCTCAGGGCGAGGGCGACGGCAACATCTTCACTCCCGAGCGCCTGCGCACCATCCACAAGGTGGAGCGTCTCCTCATGCAACACCCGCACTTCCCTCAGTTTTGCTGGAAGCCCATGGAGGTGCTGAGGGACCTCCCGCTGGGGCCCTCGTACTGCTCCCCGCCCAGCTCGCTCCTGTCGTACCTCTACCCCAGCGAGCGAGGTGGGAAGATCTACTACGACGGCATGGGTCCAGATCTGGCCGACATACAAGGTGAGCGCACGGTAGGATCAAACACCACATTAATGCCTCTTTTCCGCCAAGATATACCGCAATTGGCCCGAATATAAGACGGCCCTGATTATAAGACGACCCCCTATTTTTCAAGACTCAAGTTTGAAAAAAGACTTTTTGAACACCAAATTAATTTTTATGCAGAAAATAATGACAGTACATCTGAAACAAATGATTATAACAATATATTTGAGAGAAAAAGCATGTTATTTTGCCTCATTCAAATCTAAAGTGCTATCACATTCGTCAATGAATGGCTTCTGGTTTTGGAAATGTAAATTACATCATAACTTCTGCTCAGCTGCCGGTTAACCTGGCCGATCTTCGACCCACTTTTCTCCAGATTGTCGCTATGTTTCTCTATTTTCTGTTATCTCTTCTATTATTTTCTTCTCTTTCCTTTCTTACCGCTATTTTTTATTTTTCTTCTTCGTGCTACCGCTATTTTTATTTTTATTCTTCGTGACGGGGGTTCACTTTGGCCTGGGGAGTCAAGCTCAGCATTCATTTCAATGATATCTGGCGCCATCTAGCGTCGCAAATGGGTATAATGTCTAGACCCCGAATATAAGACGACCCCCACTTTTTCAGTCTTATTTCAATGCAAAAAACACTGTCTTATATTACAATACAATACGGTAAATCACAGGTTTTATATTTGATGAATATTACAACATTTATGATGTGAAATTTTGGGCGGCGGGTCGCTCGACTGGTTAGCACGTCCTTGATGAATATTACAACATATATGATGTAAAATTTTGGGCGGCGGGGCGCTCGACTGGTTAGCACGTCTACCGCAGAGGCGCAGGCTTCCTGGCCTTCCTGTCAGGAGTTTGCATGTTCTTCCCCGTGCCTGCCTGGGTTTTCTCTGGGTACTCCGGTTTCCTCCCACATTCCAAAAACACGCATGGCAGGCTGATTGAACACTCCGAATTGTCCTTAGGTGTGATTGTGAGTGTGGATGGTTGTTTGTTTCTGTGTGCCCTGCGATTAGCTGGCAACCAGTTCAGCCCCACCCCTGCATGGAAACCTGACTGCCCCAAAGTCCTCCTTACTTGTCCCTGCAGGTTCGTTGAGTCTGGCCATCACCCACCCTCAGTTCTACTGGTACGTGGATGAGAGTCTCTCCCCCGATCACCTCTCCTCCTCCCTCCTGCGAAGCGAAATCCACTTCGGCGCCCCTCTCCCGTCCTACTACTCCGTGCAGGACCGAGCGGATGAGCAGAGGAGCCACTTCAAGGACTTTGCGGTTCAGTATGCCGAAATCCTGGCCAAGCAATCCACCAGGTCAGACCAAGTCTTGTCATTGGGTTGACAGTGGTGCGAGTTGACTCCAAGTCGTCCCTCCTCTCTGTCTTGGCCGTCTTGCTGATGTCAGCCAGGTGAAGGTTCTCTATGGGGGAACGGAGCTGTTTGACCATGAAGTGAGGCACACCTTCAGGAATGATATGATGCTGGCAGTCATCAGTGGAGTCTGCATTACCGTGCTGGTCTACGTCCTGACCTCTTTCTCTGGTATCGTTGATAGTCACACTCGTATATCAAACAGTTTGCGGTCGGGCGATTCATCGATTTCAACTATTCATTAGAATTAATCGTCCCGCGGCGTCGGCTGTTTTTTTCCTTCTCTCCCCCCGCGCAGCTTTTCTGACGTTCTTCGGGTTGGCCAGCATCGGTGTGAGTTGCCTGATGGCTCTTTTCTTGTACCACGTGGTGTTCGGCGTCAGGTACCTCGGGATTCTCAACGGAGTGGCCGCCTTCGTCATCATCGGAATCGGTAGGGGAAATAAATGCAACTTGGAACTGGCGAGGGGTGGGGCGGGCAAATGATAGCCTGTCATTTTCTTTGCTTCTTCGCTCAGGGGTGGATGATGTGTTTGTGTTCATCAACACCTTCAGACAGGCGGCCCATCTCGGCCATCCGCGGCGGCGTATGGTCTACACCGTCAAGACGGCCGGCCGAGCCACTTTCTTCACCTCCTTCACCACGGCGGCCGCCTACGCCGCCAACGCCTTCTCCAAGGTCGTCACAGAACAAGCGTCCGATTTCCGGTCTCGTTGCGTTGCATGAATAGAAAGTGCCGCGCTCGGCGGTCACTTTCCCGCAAAGTGAACGTTTCAAGGTTCTTTGACACAGATCCCAGCGGTGCGCGACTTTGGCCTGTTCATGGCCCTCATTGTCAGCTGCTGCTGGCTTTGGGTTTGCATCCTGATGCCGGCCGCCTTGTGTATCTGGACGCGGAGCGTGGAGCCGCACGAGAACGACGGGTCCCGCTGGTGAGAGACTTTTGTTTGCGCAAGGCAACAATGCGTCACTTGTGTCATGAGATCTTTTGGATTTTCTTTTCTGGAAAAGTTTCTGATCCATTTGATTACCGGTAGTCGAACTACATTAATGCTTTAAATTATGATTTTATTTGTTTTCAAGCTTATACTGCAAAAAAAAAAAAAAAAAATGCATCTTTAAAAAAAAAAGAAATAGAAAAGAACTAGTTGTGTTTGTGCATGCTGCGCAATCTGTAGATGGAATCCCCTCCTCTGTCTCGCTCCCTAAACGGCCTCTTTCCTCACAAGCTGCAAGTCGTTTGGGGGCTTGTCATCGAGCCACGGCCCTCTGTCGGACGAGGATGACGACGTGGCCCTGCTGTCGGTGGAAACGGAGCCAGGTGAGATTATTATCCGGCACGGACTCGTAAACGGCCGCTCGCGCGCTCGTCCGCAACTCCCCTTTGTCGTCTGTGTCCGGCGCCAGATCTTCAAGAGGCAGACGGCGACGCGGGCATTCTTTCCCTGTCGGTGGAGGCACCGCTGAACCCCGCAGGGCATCGGCACCAAGGTGTGGTCAGCGCAAAACTGCAGCGGGCCCTGCAGCATTTCGTGGTCCAGCCAGCTGTGGAAAGGAGGAAAACTATTCTAGGTAAGGCCATCACAGAGTGAACTGGGCTGGAAATTTCCAAGGAGCACGGTGACCATTTATACGTTCCAAAAACATTTCTCCGCATGATTTCCAAGCTATAAATATTTTACCAAGGTTGTCTTACCTCACCTGTGCGAGTCTACAAGAGCTGGAGAGAACTGCGGGGGCGGCGGAAGGGGGTTCTGCTCGTCAACAGACATGAACCAGCCAAAACATGCAGTTTGGTGGCTCATTTTGTTTCACGGTTGAACATTGAACATGTTCACTTCTTAAGAGTGGTGTTTTCCGACAAGTTTTGGACAAAAAAGTAAAAGTGCTGTAGAACATGCATGTATGGGTATTTGTGAAAGCAGCATGATAAATCTGGAAAGAGAACAAGAACAATTTTAGATAAAATACGCATTTCAAAAGATATTTACTTCAGGGCCCGGATAATTCATTGTCCGGCTGATTTAAGCGGACGATATTAAAACGCTTTTCAAATCTGAAAAAATCAGCAATATTTTGGATACATTTTAATGATTTTTTTTATAAATGAAATACAACATCAGACAAAGAATGTAATTCTGCCAAATATCAAAATAAGCAAAAAATAATAATAATTAATCCATGTGGGCCGGTGCCTAATGAATGTGGAAGTGCACTATCAAATATACAACAAAAAAAAAAAAAATCAACAGCTGTTAAACATTTTATGCATGATTATGTGTGCTTAGTACACCAGTGATGCTTTGAGCAAATACTAAGTCGTACTTGTATTTTGCACGTCACAAGACATGAAATCTATTTTTCACCCTGATTGCCACCCAGGCGTCTTCCTCGTGCTCTTGCTGGTGTCTGCGGGCTGTTGCTGCCTGCTGAGGCCAGCCTCCCGCGCCCCCTTACTCTTCCGCCAGGACACCAACCTCCAGACTCTTCTGGCTCTCAGGAGCAACCTCAGCAGTCAAGGTATCTCCTGCCCCATGTGCTCAGGTAAGGCCGCATCAGCTGCTCCAAACCAGACATTCCTCTCAAGAAAAAACAAGCACCGTGTATTCTTCAGGGGTGTTCATGGAGAAGCCGCACTCGTTGTCCCGTCACGCATCCTCATCAACATTCGGGATGTCCACGCATGAGCCGGCCAACAGCACAGCAGCCGCTTCAACGGCGCCTCCAAACGCAGCACAGCAAAATGCGAACAGCAACCAAACAGGTAAAATGGGAGGGAAAGAAGGAAGGGAAGACCTCCGATCCAAAACACGACGAATGCAGACTTGCAAATTTGACATTCTTTTTTTTTTTTTTTCAACAAATATATTGCCTCAACAAAAGATGAACTAATCTTTACGCAATGAATGTTGTGACAAAATAAGTTGTTTTTTTTTTTAAATGTGGCTGTGGGTTTGTGGGAAGGTAAGAAGGCAAGCGAGTACGTATGACGGTGGATATAAAAAGTCTGCACACCCCTGTCTGTTTTTTGTAATGTAAAAAAAAAAAATTGGACCTAGATAAATTCTTTCAAAACTTTTCCACCATTTATGATATAAAAAGTCTGCACACCCCTGTCTGTTTTTTGTGATGTAAAAAAAAAAAAATCGGACCGAGATAAATTCTTTCAAAACTTTTCCACCATTTATATGAATTATAACCTCCAATATATCACTCCATTAAAAACAGCGACAACAAAAAAGAGAGATAAAACTGATCCCATGTGGTTGCACAAGTGTGCACACCCTCTTTTAACTGGGGAGTGCCGCTCTGGTAGAATCAACAAAATGCATTCAAATTCAAGTTAACACTCGATGGGAGCCAGCACATGCGCGACACCTCTGATCAACCCCTAATAAAGTTCAGCTGTTCTAGTCAACTTTCTCTTGAGCTACCAACCCACAGACAGAGACGAGCCTGTGTCGATGCATTTCTGAGCTCTCCCTTTATTTTCGTAGGCTTCTTACTCACGGTCTTCATATCAAAGTTGGAGGCGAGAAGCTCGGCCAGCGTTTACCGCTTCTCCCTTAACGCCAGTACTCCTTCCCCATGGACGCTGTGCGGCACAGAGCGCGAGCAGGTGTCTTCATTTCAGGTAGGCGCACGTGACCCACACACCAGGGATGGAAGCAAGTGGCACGCGGTATGCGCAAGTCCGAAGTAAGTCTCAAGTCTTCACCTTCACGTTTCAAGCAAGTCCCGAGTTACTGTTCACAATTCAATTCGATACGCCATAGACAGGCTAAGGAAACTAGCGTCACCTTTGCGGTAATGTTCAAACTTTAAGCAAGCGGCCCCCCTCGGTGTGTCTTTGAACAGAAGTCGTCGTCTTATTTCTTGTATATGGACAGGCCTTCAATCATCCGTGGCGCAACTACACCAAAAGAATGACAGTGTGCGTCTCCCACGACTACTACCCGTATCCCGGCTGGATGATCACGTCTGGATCCTGTGACCGTCGCCACAGCTGGATGCCTGAATTTTCCTTTTATGTGGCGGCATCGGCGCAGCAGCACAGCAGGTAAAGCGCACGACGTGAGCATTTAATCAGACTCTGTTAAGACAAAAAAAAAAAAAAAAAAAGCCCCAGTACATTTCAGTTGTATTTAACTTTTTAGTACATGACATTTGCATGGGATCTTTCCGAACTGTTTGTTTTTCAATTTTGAATTGATAGGAAACTGCATTTTGCCCAGCACAAACTGCGGCCTCATGCGACCCGCGTGTGCGTCAGCCCGCCTGGCTGCGGCGTCAGCGGCACCCCCGACGGACCCGCACGGGGAACCTTTTACGCTCCTCTTCCCAGAGGTGAGACCGAGGCGCGACTGACACGCCATATGTTGTCCACATGACGATTTCTTGTGCCCTCTCATTCAAGATTCCGCCTCCGCGGCACCCGAGAAAGCATCCAAGATGTTTGGCTTCAACCCGTGCACAGGCGGCGCCTGCGGCCGGCCGGCCGTGCGTCCTCTGGTCGACACGGGCGCCATGGTCTTCGTGGTCTTTGGCATCTTGGGAGTTAATCGGACGCAGCGCCGAGGCAATCATGTCATTGGAGACATGGTGAGGCTCCTGCGCCTTCATCGCGTGTCAGTCAACGGAATTCTGTGAAGTCAAGCTGCTCTTTATACCAAACAGGGCAACGTCATATTGGATCCCGACTTTGACATTTTCCAGGAAATGGGACACTTGTGCAAGATTTGCAAAGCCGTGAGTGCAAATAAACAACTCGTGAAGCCCGGAGGAGCGCAGTGTTTGCCTTCAGGTAACATCCGACAAGAAATTGCTTGCCTGATTTGTTGCCAAAGCTTTATAACGTCGACATCACAGGTGTCAAACTCAAGGGCCGGGTGGGCCAGATCGGGCCCGCCACATCCTTTTATGTGGCCCGCGAAAGCAAATCAAAGATGTCAGCTTTCATGATGCTTGCTAAAGTCTCCACCAAAATTTCAAATTCTCATTTGTAATAAATAAAAGTGATACTGTAAGCATTTCCTTTTCACCAAACTCCTCCCAGTAAATTTAACGGTAGGTGAATAAACCGTTATTTTTTTTACTTCCTTATATGATTTCAGTCATCATGGCCCTAGAGGGGAAACTGTAATTAAAATCTGGCCCGCGCTAAAAAATGAGTTTGACACCCCTGGTCTACATGAGGTCTTTTTTTTTAATCACCGGTTCACAAAAACAACCATCACGCCGTCTTTTTACATAACTACTTATGAATGTAACACGCACACGAGGTGCAATGATTCATCAACAACTAATCAATTATGTTTGATTATTGAATACTCATTTGGAGACCTTCTTTAGCTTCAAATTGTCCAAGTCCTTGAGAATTCAGTTTCTCAACAGAAAATGTTCTCTGTAAATTATGACATTATCATAAAAAGTATCATATATTTGCTTTGCGATGAGGTCACAAGTTGTCCTCCGTCCTGCCTCTGCTGCATCCGGAATGTCACGCTCTGCCCGAGCCCAACCTGCTCCCGGACCAGCTCTCCCACGGGGCGGTGGGAACGCACGCCGGGAAGGTCCGATGGCTCTCGATGGCCTTTGAGTCGGTGAGTCGCCTTCTGGCCGCTCGGCGCTTCGGGTTCATCCGTCGCCCTTCAGTCCCGCCTCCTTTCGTTCCAGACCACGTACAAGGGCAAGTCCTCCTTCCAGACTTACTCCGACTTCCTGCGGTGGGAGACCTTCATCCAGGAGCAACTCTCGGCTCTTCCGCCTTCTTCGGCCTTAAGGCGAGGCTTTCAGACCTGTGAGCACTGGAAGCAGATCTTCATGGAGATCATAGGTACGGCGGTGTAGGTGTGTGTGTGTGTGTGGCGCTAGTTGGATAGGTGGGCAAGTGCGTTTGTGCGTCATGAGGCAACTTAACGGAGTGTGTTGTAGGTGTTGAGAGCGCCCTCTGGAGTCTGCTGCTGTCCCTGCTTATCTGCGTGGCTGCCGTCTCGGTTTTTACCGCTCATCTTTTCCTACTGCTTCCAGTCCTCGTCACCATCCTGGGTACCGTCATGAACCTTTCAGGTCATTGAAAGCTCCTCAGTCCCGCTTAGGCTTCAATGGTGCCACTGTGGTCTTTTGTCAGGAGTGATCTGCGTGGTGGGCGCGGCCATGTACTGGTTGGGCTGGGAGTTGGGAGCGGTGGAGGCCATTTCTCTGTCCATCCTGGTGGGATCCTCAGTGGATTACTGTCTGCACCTGGTGGAAGGGTACATGCTGGCCGGGGAGACGGCACCTCTGGCTGCGGGACTCGGCTGCGTAAGCCTGGATCGTCTATCTTGCTTCAGGCATCATGCCCGTCTAGCTGCCGTTCATCCACTGTCATCTACTATACCCATTTACCTACTTATCTACGTCGCCATCGTTCATCCACATATTCTTTGCACCTACATACTGTATCATACCTAGTTGACTACTTATTATCCTACCAGCCATCTTTCCTATGTACCTCCAGACCTATTTAGCGATCGTGCATCCACCAGTGTTTCCCATGCCATCCATCCACCCGCCACCTGTCACCCATAAATCAATTTCATACAATTCATTCACCACCTGTCTCTACTATTACATGCACATTTAGCTGTTCTCCATCCACCCATCTTTCCGATATACCTAAATATTCATCTGACTAAAATCTATTTTCCCCATACCCGTCGAGCTAAAATCCATCCATTTTCGATATATAGCTACATACCGATGTATCTATCCTTCATCCAGCCATTGTACTGCACATATCTAATACCATCCATCCACCACATTTCTTTCCTATTTACCAACATACCTTTCTAGGCGTCATCCATCCAGCCGCCCATCTTTCCAGAGATCCTGCTGTACTCTGACTTGAGCTGTCATCCATTACTCATTTCCTTGTGTTCCTACATACAGTTCATATTTCGCTATCTCGCTTGAGGTACAGCAGCTTCTTCAAATCACCAAGTTCCTCAGGCATGGGAGAACAACGGCTAAAAGTTTGCGCAGTGCCTTTGAAGGAGGCGAGTTAGACATGAAATGAGGCCCAAATCACCATGTGGCATTCACGTCGCCTTTTGTTGGCAGGAGGCTGCGGCTCGGAGGCAGAGACGCAGCGTGGAGGCAGTCAACCATGTGGGTGTTGCCATAGTGTCCAGCGCTGTTACCACGGTGATCTCCACGCTCCCCCTCTTCTTCTGTGTCATCGTGCCTTTCGCTAAGTTCGGCCAGATCGTGGCCATTAACACCGCCGTCTCCATTTTGTTCACCCTGACCGTGACCGTGGCCACGCTGGCCAGCGCGGCGCCTGCCGACTTCAGCCGGACGCCCGGCGGCGTGCTGAAAGCCGCCGCCGCTGCGCTGGCGCTGGCG